AAAACAGGTTAGTATAGAAGATCGCTTCGAATAGTTCGAGGTGAGTATGATTTGGTCATTAAGCGTCCATCTTGACGTCAATCTGTGCGAAATGTTTAGGGATGATGTGAATGTTCTTTCACGATTTCAGTTGAATATTAAAGCTGTGGTTGTTTTATATGCCAGGATGTCCATCTTTAGGTGAATTTGCTGTTAGGGTCTTCATTTTGCCTTAACGTGTTGTTGTATCATGTAAATGGACTTTCCGTCCATTCAGAGGCGGATTCGCTTCCAAATGTTGTGTTGGCGTTAGAGCATTGTCCTCTTCTTGCCTCATCCTATCGAACGGCCTACTTTATTCTCCAACCTGTCAGCTGTTCGTGTGACAAGTGTGATTTTCATTTTCGTCTGGCCTGACAATCCGCGATAGTCTGGCGGCCACTTTTTCCGCCTCGGCTGCATAACTTGCCAGGCCTCCTTCTCCTCCTTTTCTCCAGTCTGGTCTGGCTCGCGGAGGCTGGAGGCCGAGTGGCCTCGCAGATCTCGCTGACCGTACAGCCGCCCAGGCCCAGCCACCTCGTCCGGGCGTCGCGCCACTCCGGCCCCGGTTTGGCGCGAGCCAACGGCAGCTGGGCCGCCACGGACTCGGACTCGGCGCAGCGCAGCCAGGCCGCCAGAGCCACCGAGACCGGCCAGCTCGGATTCGACGGTCAGCCGGTCGGTTTGGCTCCGTCGCTTGGGCATCAGTTCGGCCGGGCGCTACAGCGCTTTCGCTTCGAGCCGGCCAGTGGACATATCCTTGCCTTCGCCACAAACCAACTGGACAAGGGTACTTTTGCTCTCTTGACTCATCTCGCTTTCGAGACTGCTACTAACTCTGAAATATGATATGTAGAATGCAAAGAAAACGTCAGCTCCATTCATCTGATTGTGGAAAAATTCAACTACCAGTCCGTCAGCAACCTAAATGAAATTGCAAGAACACATCTCATATTTCCTCTTATTTTTGCCTACTTTTACACATTTTTCGTATGTAAGTAGACTTTCGAGACGGCCACTAAATCAGTAATATGAGATGTATTCACCCAATTTCGTTTAAGGTGATGAAGCACTGGCAGTTGAATTCTCCCACAATCATATGAGTAGAGCTGACGTTTCCATTGAATTTCCCAAAAGTTGTTCGTATCTAGGGTGGACTGCAGTTTTGAACTCACACCGGTCTTATCAACACCCCCAACGGGGTGTTAAGGCCTTCATTGTGTCTGAACGTCTTGTTGTATCATATAAATGGACTTTACGTCCTCAACACTACCAACGGGGTGTTGGTGGGATTGTCGATGAAGCAAACGTATATTTGCTACAACAATCGAC